TGTTACCAGAACAGAGGATATCCTCGTGGTTTCCCGTGTTAAACTCGCAAACAAGTTTTTTTCGAATGTGGACCACAGGAAGGCTTCTGATGTTTAGTGTTATCAATTGAGTTCGAAGAAAGGTATCATTTGGGACACTGGTGAAACATGGACAGCGCCGTACATCAGGCGCATTTTGTTTCTTAGCATATCTTTTAGTGTTGACAATTTGACTGTTGGTAATCGATGTTCACTTTGGTATTTACGATGAACGGTCAATGAACTTGTGATTATTTCTTACTTGAGTGGAAATTGCTTGCTGCTATCGCTGGTGCAGTCCATCGAGTCACCTTTTAATCGCCAAAAGGGACATCTCTGGAGCAAGATGTTTGTTGAAGCGTGTCATTGAATCATGGTCGTCGAAGGGTTGGCATGTACAAGCACGTTAGCAAAATGAATAGAGTTGTTGGAGAATCGCGTTGTCATTCAGCTGTGTTCTGCTAAAACTAAAAATGCTTAGCTAATTCCAACAAAAAAAAGCATTTGTGGCGACTTGGCTCCCAAAGAAAAAACTTAAAACTTTACGACTCTTGCACAATTCACCCCTTATCGGGGTCGGAATTCTCACCAATTCTGTTCCCTTGAGTGAAACACAGCCATCTCGCAGGATGTCACTCACTTGGTTTTGACAAGAAAAATTTGCCACTTGTTAGTTATCATAACTACAATGTTTTAGGTTGTGAAACTGCTATATTGATGGATGTTCCTAGTCTAGTCTTGTTGGAAACCAATCGCAAATTGTATTTGTGAAATGAAATCATGGGTAATTTGAGCAAAAATGGTCTGAGCTTGGTGCCTTGTGAAATGCTTTCATAATGACTTAATCTTCCATTGCCAGACTGGTTCTTTAATGCCTCTTCCAGCTGAAAGACCGCCTTTTTGACGTGACTCGTCAAATCACTCGGTGCATCGTGGCGGAACCCGTGGTGGCAGCAGCCCTGATTCGACATTACCGCGAGTGGCGCGTCGAACCAAGTGGGGCGATACGCGAGTTGACTAGTCAGTTAGTGCAACTGCGCTTCATTCTGCGTCAAGTACTCCTTGTGAGCCCCCATGAGACGGCGGTGAGGGACGAGTACATCGAGAAGGCGGAGAAACAGGGTGCTAAACAGGGCGAAACTCTTCAACGACTGATAGATCGACTAGAGTTCATGACTCAGGAGCATAATAAACTGGTAAGTGAGTGAGGTAGAGCATGTCAAGATGCTACATTTGAAGTGAAAAGGAGAAACTCATCGAGGTCATGAATAGAAGCGTGCCTTTGCATGTTCGGAAGTTGAGCATAAAATGGAGGAGCTCTAGCTTGGGAGTTAAAATTTTCCGAGTTTCAAGATAGGAATGCTTTCCTTTCCAGATTAAAGGCGTACAATTAAAGGTAATCAGCAGTAATTGCCTTCCTGGTGGCCAAACTACTTAACTTGTGATTCGTTCCTTTCCATTTGTAAATTCGTAACGCTAATTCGCCGTGCAACAAGTGAATCAACAAAGAAACCGTAACAATCGCAGCGAAATCAGGTAATTCTGAAGAGTATCGCAAGAATTTTATTTGTGACTTCCTTCCTCACCGAAACTCTCTGAGCCATAATTGTAGTAGTATGGATGGTCAAAATGTTTAAAACCAGAGATCAAAATCCTTTCAAGGAACCTTTCTTCAAGCACACTTCCAAACGGCTACATTTTGCAAGAAGGTTAATCAAATTACCAAGTGCTTGGAATGTGAAAGAAAGGTTTTATAATGAGTTATCAAGGCGTAAGCGACACAACAGGCAGCACTTGTGTGCGAGAAATAAAAGTGAACATGGGTATGGTGAAACACAGTAACGATTCCG